ATTCTCTCAAGATATTGACAATATTATTCCACTGGCTCTTTGCTTTCATTGTTGTTGAATTAGTTTAATTGTAATCTGTCTTCTTTTCTCTCTGGCTACTTTTTTTTTTTTCTTTTTTCTTTTGAGATGAGGTCTCACTGTGTTGGCCAGGCTGGTCTTGAACTCCTAGGCTTAAGTGATCCTCCCACCTCAGCTTCCCAAGTAGCTGGGACTATAGGTGCACACCACCATGCCCAGCTTTCTTACTGCTTTTTAAAAACAGCTTTATTGAGGTATAATTCACATACCATACAGTTCACCTATTTAAAGTAAACAATCTGCTGGGTTTTAGTATAGATCGCAGATATGTACAACCATCAGTTGTAGTCAGTTTTAGAACATTTTCATCACCTCAGAGAAGCCCCATACCCTTCAGCTATCCCCCCTCTATTTTTCTATTCCCCCCGGCCCTAAGTAACCCCTAATCTATTTTTTTCTTTTTATAGGTTTGTCTATTTTGGACATTTTATGTGAATGGAATCATGTAATATGTAGTCTTTTATGACTGGCTTCTTATACTTAGCAAAATGTTTTCAAGTTTCATCCATGTTATAGCATGTATCAGTACTTCATTTTTTAACCTCTTACAACTTTTGTTTTTTTCATATTATAAAATGCATCATTTAACCATTTTAAGTGTATAATTCAGTGGCATGAATTATATTCACAATGTTGTGTGACCATCACCACTATCTATTTCTAAAACTTTTTCATTACCCCAAACAGAAACTTTCTACCCACTAAACAGTGACTCCCTATTCTCCTTTCTCCCTGCTCCTGGTAACCTCTAATCTACTTTTTGTCTCTGAATTTGCCTATTCTAGGTACTTCATTTAAGTAGAATCACATAGTATTTGTCCTTTCGTATCTGCTTCTTTCACTTAGCATAATGTCTTTAAGGTTCATTCATTTTGTACCATGTATCAGAACTTCATTCCTTTTTATGGCTGAATAATATTCTATTTTTTTTTTTTGAGACAGGGTCTCTCTCTGTTGCCTGGGCTAGAGTGCCATGGCATCAGCCTAGCTCACAGCAACCCCAAACTCCTGGGCTCAAGCAATCCTCCTGCCTCAGCTTCCCCAGTACCTGGGACTATAGGCACGTGCCACCACATCCAGCTAACTTTTTCTGTTTTTAGTTGCCCAGCTAATTTCTTTTCTATTTTTTAGTAGAGATGGGGTCTCACTCCTGCTCAAGTTGGTCTCAAACTCCTGACCTCACGCGATCCTCCCTCCTCGGCCTCCAAGAGTGCTAGGATTCTAGGTGTGAGCCACTGCATCCGGCCTGAATAATATTCTGTTGTATGTATATATAGTTGACCTTCCATATCTGTGGGGTCTGCATCCATGGATTCAACCAACTGCAGATTGAAAGTATTTTTAAAAAGCCAATAAAAATAATACAAATTCAAAAAAATAGGGCATAGTGGTTCATGCTTGTAATCCCTGCACTTTGGGAGGCCAAGGTGGGAAGGTGGCTTGAGCCCAGGAGTTTGAGGTTGCAGTGAGCTATGATGACGCCACTGCTCTCTAGCCCAGGTGACAGAGCGAGAGTCTGTCTAAAACAAAAACAATAACAGCATAACAATTATTTACATAGCATTTACATTATATTAGGTGTTATTATATAGGTTTATTATTTTTTTTTTGAAGCAAGGTTTTGCCCTGTTGCCCCAGCTAGACTGTAGTAGTGTCATCATAGCTCACTGTAACCTCAAAGTCCTGGGCTCTAGCAGTCCTCCTGCCTCAGCCTCCCGTGTAGGTGGGACTACAGGCACGTGCCACCACGCTTGACTAATTTTTCTGTATTTCGTAGGGACAGGGGTCTTGCTGTGGCTCAGGCCGGTCTCAAACTCCTGACCTCAAGTAATCCTTCTTGCTCAATATTCAGCATTCCTACTTTCACTTTGTTTTTGGAAACTGCATTCTTTTATTTCATGACAGCTCAGAAATGGCTTAAATAGCTGGATACAATATAGAAAACATTGCTAAACTGGCAAGAAAGCAGGCAGGGTCATTCAGGGTATGTAATATATAGTATTTCTATAGATGATAATCAGGTCATTGGAATTGAGAAGATTAATAAACTGTAAAGCTAAGGCAATTGATTGACATGGACATTAAAGTCTTCTGGCATGATATTGGGATTAGAGTTGAAGCAGAAAACTGAGTCAGATGCCAAAGTCCTCAGTGAATTTTGGGAAGGTACTAGTTGATGAGTAGTGAATTGATAGGGTATAGGTAAGGTAGAGGTAATGAAGTTGGGTGGACTAAGTCTCAGAGGAGGTCTTTTTCTATACAAGGGTGAAAGAGTGTGACCTTGAAGTGTTGATAGAAGATAAGAATGCTCATCCCTCCTGCTTTCCCTGTGGTACACAGGTGTGGTTGAATGATAAGTAGTATGTGATTGACTCTCTCTTGCCTTTGATACCTCTCTTAACTTCACATTGTTTCTGTTCATAAACTGACCAAATTGCAATACAAGTGAATTATGTGTTTAAGCTTTGTAAAGAGTGGGAAATAAGAAGGTATACTTTCTCCTTTCTTCTAATAGACAGTTCTTCTAGGCAGGGACTGAGCCTTTTATAACCCACATACTTATTAACACAGTTCATGGCACACAGAATGTAAATTTCATCAAGGTAGTACTTTTTGTCTGTTTTATTCACTATTCAATAAATAATTATTTCATGAGTGAATAGGAACACTCATAAATGTCAAATCAGTTGCAATCTACTTGAGTAGTTTTCATGATGCTGACTAGAGAATTTCTTATTCAGCTTGGCAGGGGGGAAGTTGGCCTACTTTTCTTCTTTTCTCTTTCTTTTTTCCTATGTTTTAAAAAATATATATTGAAGTATAATATACATGCAGAAAATTGCCTATATCATAAACGATCAGCTCGATTTTCACTAACTGAACATATTTGTGTAAATATCACCCAAATCAAGAAACAGGGCCTAACTTTTAAAATCAATACTTCAGACTGGGTGCGGTGGCTCACGCCTGTAATCCTAGCACTCTGGGAGGCCGAGGTGGGAGGATTGCTTGAGCTCAGGAGTTTGAGACTAGCCTGAGCAAGAGCGAGACCCGGTCTCTACTAAAAATAGAAAGAAATTAGCCAAACGACTAAAAATAGAAAAAATTAGCCGGGCATGGTGTCCCGTGCCTGTGGTCCTAGCTACCTGGGAGGCCGAGGCAGGAGGATCCCTTAAGCCCAGGAGTTTGAGGTTGCTGTGAACTAGGCTAAAGCCATGGCACTCTAGCCCAGGCAAGAGAGTGAGACTTTGTCTCAAAAAAATATATATATGCTTCAGAAAATTCATTTTCATGTTAATTTGATGGGTGTCTGAATCTGTAGTGACCCAGATGTGGTCACTAAATGTTTGCCAGAAAGGCAATTGTAAAATTTTTGATGCTTATGAGTTTTTCCTTTCTAGATGTGATTAAAGGAGAATGTCAGATTTCTTATAATGCTTGAGCCTGGGGCAAGTGATTACAGTAACACTCATTTCATACTCAACATGATGAATAGTGTTACTAATGGTTCATATCCTAGGGGTGTGAGGTAACAAATATTTTTTTCTGAAAATTACTATTCTTTGTATAGAATATGGCAGACTTGGTCATAATATGTATTCTTCCTTTTTAAAAAAATCCTATATCTAAATTCATCCTTCTTAAAAGTAATCTAGAGTCTTTCTAAACCCATTTCTAAGTACAGGGAAGACAATATGGAATATGCTGTACTTTTAGACTTTAAAGTTTAGAGCCATGACTACCAAAATACAAATTTGTTTAAAGAAAGTTTTTGCTTTTGTTGCTTTCTCTAGTCCCATTAAATAATTTACTTTTTCCACTTTCCTATCATCTAGAGAAGGAGTTGGCCAACTTTTTCTTAAAGCTCCAGGGACCAGGTAGTAAATATTTTAGGCTTGAGGGCCATACTGTCTACGTCACAACTACTTAACTCTGCTTGTGTAGTGCAAAAGCAGCTGTAGATGATACATAAATGAATGGGTGTGGCTATGTTCCCATAAAACTTTATTTCCAAAACAGGTAGACCATAGTTTGTTGAGCTATAATCTAGGATAAGACCTCAACAGATGGACTTTCAAAATGAAATGGTGTAGGGGAATTGGTCGTTCAGTAATTTAACAAATTTATTGAGTGTGTGCTCTTTACCAAACTGAGGACTAAGCTATTAATTAAATTCTTGTGTGTCTGTTCACTTGAATATGAAGCATTATTGAAAATGATAATTTTGAAGACGAAACAACATGGGAAAATGCTTTTAAGTGGAAATCAGGATAAAAGTTTTAGGTTTGTACCTTAATGCGTGTGGATTAATGTTGAAAGAAATGTATGAATTTTTGTTAGGTAGAAGGATCATGGGCAATTCTTTTCTGTTTTTTAAATTGCAGTGTTTTTATACTCCAAAAATAGCTTAAAAAATGACCTAATGGGATGTCAATTAAAACTATTATTTTTATCAGCCAGGCACAGTGTTCATGCCTGTAATCCTGGGGCTTTGGAAGGCTGGGGCAGGAGGATCGCTTGAGGCCGAGTTGCACACCGGCCTAGGCAACATATGGAAACCCTGTCTCTACAAAAAAATAAGATAAAAAATAACCAGGCGTGTTGGCACAGGCCTATAGTCCTAGCTACTTGGGAAACTGAGGTGGGAGGATCACCTAAGCCCAGGAATTCGAGGTTACAGTGAGCTATGATTACGCCACTGAACTCCAGCCTGGGCAACAGAGTGAGATGCTGTCTCTTAAAAAAAATATTGTTTTTATCACTACTGTGTAGTATGAAAAAGAGAAGCTTTGTAAAACCATTGTTCAGTGAAATCCTGAATCCTTTTACTTAATCTGCATAAGATTGACATTTGGGGAAAATGTGTTGCTGCTCTGTTCAAGATATATTGTCATTTCTCTTTAAATTTTATGTTTTAACAGTGCCCTTATGTCTGCCATTTTTTATATTTACTTACCAAAAAAGAGAATGGTGAGTATTTTCATTCCAGTTGTATTACATTCACTTTGCAGAATTAGCATTTGTATTGGCCTTTATAAAGTTAAAATAGCTATTAGCATTAGTTATATGACAGGACTCATTTTGAGGAAATGGCTTTTTAGTACTTTTATCTAAGAACATCTGCTTAATGGCTTAACAGGGTTTTTATATTCTTGATGTGTTGTAAGAAGAAACTACAATATATGAACGACAAGGTGGTTAAGTATAACCAGTTTCTTTTTATTCTGAACCAAATACATAGCACCTCTTTTCTTTACCTTTTCTAGTGAAACCATTTCGTGTGAGAAAACTGCTTGATCTTCAAGCCAAAATGGTGAGTACCAAAAAGACCCTAAGATGGGCCAGTGTATTATGTGCCAGGTACTGAGCTAGGCTTTGGGGATATAAAATCAAATGAATTGTTATCTTCAAGAAATTTACTTTCTGGGGAGCTCAGTCAACAAAATGAAAAATGAGAATCAGACATGGGGTCAAGGAGGAACAGTGATCCTTGAGAGAAATTTTAAGGGACGAATATGATTTAAGTAGGTAAAGAAGGGAGAGAAGGGGACGGGCATGGTGGCTCACGCCTGTAATCCTAGCACTCTGGGAGGCCGAGGTGGGAGGATTGCTCAAGGTCAGGAGTTCGAGACCAGCCTGAAAAAGAGTGAGACCCCGCCTCTACTAAAAATAGAAAGAAATTAGCTGAACAACTAAAAATATATGGAAAAAATTAGCCGGGCATGGTGGTGCATGCCTGTAGTCCCAACCACTCGGGAGGCTGAGGCAGGATTGCTCAGGAGTTTGAGGTTGCTATGAACTATGCTGACACCATGGCACTCTAGCCCGGGCAACAGAGCAAGACTCTGTCTCAAAAAAAAAAAAAAAAAAAAAAAAGAAAGAAGGGAGAGAAGGGCACTCTTACCAGAGGGAACAGCATGAGCAAAGACATGTAGATGTCAGACAGCAAACATTGTTTAGGGAACTGGGTTGGTATGGCTAGAACAAATAAATCTTAGGGAGTGGTCAGAAATGAGTTTATATTCTTTGTGGATGGGATGTAGGAAAGCATTTAAGGATATTATCTTCTGGATACTTAAACTTCAATATATTCTCTGACTGTTACCTCTTGTCCTTATAGCTCTTTTTCATTGTTATTTCCACTATACCTGCCAGGTAACAGAAGTCTGTGAAGCTTTGGGTACAAAACAATAGGAAGTATTAGTGCCCACACCTAACTGGAGCCTTCATGGCCTACTTAAAGGCATTCACACTGAATGAAAAACATAGACCCAGAACACTTTTGTGCTTCTCCAGTATGAGGTCTTCTCTTAGTACAGTTCAATGATTGTTCTTGCCTTATAGCCTCCTGTTTTTATTCTATGGTACAATGTCTTCTCTTAGTTTGCTGAGAATATTAATGGTAATGTTTTTGTCCAAATTTAATTTTGTTTCACATTAATAGAAATTGTGAAAAGATGTATATTTTTCCATGTTACAGCAAAACATTTCAATGGAATAAGAAATTCTTACGAAGTATAAGATCTTACTGATTGGTATTAACTGAAACAGTGTATGTTCAAGTTAAAAAATGATTTATTAGATGATTGTCTAAAAATTTTAAGTCCAGACATTAAATGTATGGTTTCATTATTAATATTCTCTATAGTACATTACTAAATTATTCTCTTGTCAACATCCATTTATAAAGATGCATTCCTAACATTTTTTTTTGATTAGCTGAATTTTGGTGAATTTGGGCAAGTCCAACAATATCAAACCAAGAAGGCATGGTCATGCTCATATGTAACCTAACATACATGATAGTAGCAGGCATTTGCTCACATCAGCACATGCGAGCAAATATATTGGATGTGTGAGTTTCTGATACCTGTAAAGGCATGTATCCCATCTATCCCCATTCATGCTCCATGACTCCCAATCTATGAAGGAAACAAAAACACAGAAATTGCTTTTCTGGTGGCAGGCACGAATGGTAGGAAGTGGGGCAAGCACGTTATTATCCCACATACACTAGATCAGGGGTGGGGAACCTTTTCATGTTGGGAGGCTGCATTAATTTGGCTATAATCAAATAAGGCTGCGTTCAAGAAACTTCAATTAGATATACTTAAAAATGTATATTATTTTGTAAAAATCTAACCACTATATACTTAATAATTTCAAAAAATGAAAACTATTTGTTAATTTTAAAATTAATTAACCTTTTAATGACTATGTCGTATCTGCTTTTTGTTGGAGAGCATTTGAATATTTGGTTGTAGCATGAAGGTCTGCAGTTTCAGTTGCTCTTCTAGATGGGTATCAGTCATTTGTGACCTGAAGGGCATCTTAATTTGGGTTAGGTAGGAGAATGTGATTTGCAGTGGTAAGTGGTTGAAAAGCAAGAAAGCATTTTTCAGGCATGTTGCCAAAGAGATGGGTATTCTGCATTTTTCTGTATTTCAATTGGATCTTTCTTAGTATCAAACAATAACTTTAAAATGTCATCTACTGAGAACTCAATCAATTCCATCTGTAGTTCTTTAGGTGCCTTGGTGATATCAACTAGGTGAGGCTGAAATGCTAATTTGAGTGTGATGTCATGATTCTCAGTCAATGAACCTTTCATTGTATTCTTCAATCAATAGGTCTGTAACAGCTTCATATTCGTCAAATCATTCACATATATCATCCTGCTCATCAGTGACCTTTGCTAACTGGGGAAAATGTTCACCTGATATTTCCTTCTGAAGAAAAATTGTTCTGAAAAAAGATAGCTTTTTTCAAAATGCTTGGATTTTTTGCCACATATCATATATAGACTTAGTTTTACTTTGCAAAGAAATATTCCAGTCATTGACATGATGTCACACAGAAATGCTGCATTCCTATAGAAATCTTCTTTCAATAATTCACATTGCTGATTCTGTTCTTCAGAAAATTCCTATGTTCTCGCAGAGATAAAATTTTGGCTAACATCTGTCCTGCGATAGCCAATGTACTTTACAATGATATGGCAAATCCACACTGAATACCTCATTGTTCAACTTTAGCATGTTATGAAACTGAATATGCCATGTTGCATTTGCACGGATATACTTAACAATACTTATAACTTGTTGCAAAGTGTCACTCAAAATTGTAGCTTTAGCATAGTGATTTTGCTGATGCAAGATACAATGAAAAGAAATGAGAGCATCTGGATCTGTTAATAGTCTTTTTATCTGTGCAATAAACTCTTCATGTTTTCTTGTCATGGAAGGTGTACCGTATGTATGTACACTCACTGAATTTACCAAATTCAGTCCAACTTCACGACATTATCTTGAAAGTTGTTGAAGATATCTGTTCCCCATGTTCTGTTCACAAGAGTGCCCAAAGCGAGTAATTCTTCACAACAAAGAGAATCTGTTATGACCCGAATGAAGTATAAAACCTGTGCCGAGTCAGTAGTATCAGTTGATTCATCCAAAGCGATTGAATAATATATATTTTCCTTTTGAAGTATTACATGAATTTCTGTTAAGTTGAAGGCTAATTCATGCTGCTGATCAGTTATGGTTCTCCTTGAAAGAGGCAGTTGTTTGTACTTTGAAACATTATCAGGGTCTAAGCATCCTACAACTTTGACAATGCATTCTTTCACAATTTCTGCATCACTGAAAGGCTTCCCTTATTCCCGAGTATATAAGCTACTTTATAAGTTCCTTCGGTGGCATTATTTCCAGGTCTTATTGCTGCTTGAAAGAATTGTCTTTGGTTTTGCTTTTCATCTTTTAATTTCTGCAATACAACTTTTTGTGCTTCTCCCTCTAATTTAAAATATTTATGGTCCTTATGTGTGTTATAATGCTGATGAGCATTGAATTTCTTTAATGTTGATATCACAAAGCAAGCAAATTATCTTACCTTTAGCAGAAACAAGATAATATTGCAATTCTCAATCCTTATTAAAAAATCTGTTTTCTTCCTTCAGCATTCTCTTGGTCTTCTTTTACATGTTGGGCTGTTAAGCAAACAGAATTAAAAAATACTGTTGAGCTGTGCAACTATTCACAAATCTCACTTAAAACAGAAACACAGTGCACCGTTGTCAAAAGCTGATAACAGACTGGTATACTCACTCGACCCCCATAAACTCTTGCCAACCAGCCTCATGTGATAGTGGTACCAGTTGGGGATGGCAAGTTAGAACTGAATCATGATGGTAGCAGCTGTCAGTTTAGCCCTTATGGCTTACTAATGTTCTAATTGTGTTGGTCAATCTGGGAGGATTATTTTGTTGAAACTTATTTTATTCTTTTGTATTTTAAATATGTTCATTTTAAAAACAAAAATATAAAAGACAAAGAAAAGTATATTAATAAAAATAAGAGGATTTGTTCTGCAAAATTTGGATTCAATCAAAAGACCATACTTCAGGACCTAGAAAGCCACATGTGGCCGTAAGGCCACAGGTTCCCCACCCCTGCACTAAGGCCCTGTCAAGAACAGGCTTTGGAACAAGAAGGGTGAGTTCGATCTCATCCTAAGGATTTGTGAGGATGGTTTCTGGAATTCTCCCTCTACTAGGCATGAGCCTGTGTGTATGCACGTGGCTATGATGTTTTTTTCTGTTCTCAGCTTTGTCTCTGTTTCCTCGGGGTTCCTTTCTTTAGTTTGTTTGGTCTGTCTTCTCATGGTAGAGGTTTTTCTCAAATGTTTTGTAAAGCTTATTGTCCAATTTAATAGTAAAGCACTAAAATGATGATCGGAAACTTGTGTATGTGAGCAGGATCTTGATGTTTCATTGGGAAGGCTCCCAGATGTCTGCATCAATTTTGCCAGAGAAGAATTTTCTTGTTTCCTGCCTATGGGGTTGCGAGGTTCTCCAGAGAAAGAGAACCAATAGGGGGTGTGTGTGTGTGTGTGTGTGTGTGTGTGTGTATTATGTATTTATTATAAGGAATTGGCTCATATGATTATGGAGGCTGGAAAGTCCAAAATCTGCAAAGTGGGCTGTCAGGCTGGAGACCCAGGAGAACCAATGTTCCAGCTCGAGTTTGATAGCAGTCTGCTGTGAAACCAGGAAGAGCTGATGTTACAGTTAAAGTCCAAAGACAGTCTGCTGGAGAATTTGTTCTTCCTCTGGGGCCTGTTTTATTCAGGCCTTCAACTGATTGGATGAAACCTACACACATCATGGAGGGCAATCCGCTTTACTTAAAGTTTACCAATTTGTTAGTCTTATCTAAAACACTGTCATGGAAACACCGAAAACAATGTTTGACCAAATATCTGGGCACCCTGTGGCCCAGCCAAATTGGCACATAAAATTAACCATCACAGGTATAAACCTGGCTACTGGCACTCTGGGACCTAAGCAATGGAAAGGAGTGAGGAATGGTCCTCAACTGTGTCTAGTGTCTAAGTCCAGGTTCATCTTCAGAGGGTAAAGCCCTAATGTCTTGCCAGTGTAGTGAAGGAATTTGGGATATTAACTGTTTCTTATGTAGGTTTTCAGGCAATCTTCCTGCTATCTGTCCCTCTTACATCCCCACTTTTCAGAGATACCTGGTCCCTCAAATTCCTGAGCCTTTTTGGGAATTCTCAAGCATGAATCTACTTCTTTTGAAGCTTTTTCTGTTGATGCCTTAGGTTTCATTTTCTTTGTTCTGCTAACTTGGTTGCTGTTCGCTCATCTTCATTCTAGTTTCTGAAATCTTATTTAAATTTCTCATTTGTTGTCGTCTCCCTTCTTGTTCTCTTTGAACTTGTGCTTTATGCCTTTTTCATACTGTCTTTTTTTTTTTTTTTTTTTTTGAGACAGAGTCTCACTCTGTTGCCCTGGCTAGAGTGAGTGCCGTGGCGTTAGCCTCGCTCACAGCAACCTCAAACTCCTGGGCTCAAGCGATCCTCCTGCCTCAGCCTCCTGAGTAGCTGGGACTACAGGCATGTGCCACCATGCCCGGCTCATTTTTTCTATATATTTTTAGTTGTCCAGATCATTTCTTTCTATTTTTTTTAGTAGAGACGAGGTCTCACTCTTGCTCAGGCTGGTCTCGAACTCCTGAGCTCAAACAATCCGCCCGCCTCGGCCTCCCAGAGTGCTAGGATTACAGGCGTGAGCCACCGCGCCCAGCCCATACTGTCTTTTTAATGGGGCTTTAATCACATATGTTCGATATGTCATATTTAACTGGACGTCTCCCCTTCACCGCTTTAGGGTTAACTGTTTAACAAAAAAGAAAGATTTAGTTAACTACACAGTAAGTTCTAAAGGTCTCTGCACTATTAAATATTCGTTTTCTCAAAAAACATTCCAACTTAAAACAAATGCTCTGATACACATTGATAATGGGTGTACAGAGGTCAGAAGACATTTTCAACATAAACTGGGTCATTTTGATTTTGTTTAATAACTTTAATTTCAAGAAGCTGTTATAAAATAAGAATACTGTATTTCTAAGCCTCATTTACTGCCTTACTTTGTGCGTATTCAAGTCAATAAAATTTTAGTATAATGAAACAATTTGATTACTTCCTTGGAATTCATTTTAGTGGTATGCTTTCTCTGGGATAGCCAGATATATCTAACACAGGTATCTAGCAGTGATGACCTCTTTCATTGTGAAGTTAGTGTTTTTGTTAAGATTTGTTTCAGTTTTATCAAAGTCACTTGACCACTGCACACCAATTGTGATTTTATAGTTAATTTTCCAAGAATTATGATAAACAGGTATTAATATTTCATTTGTTCTTTTTTCTTGGCTTCCCTTTTGGTCCTACCTCCTTGATGTCTAAATCAAGGACAAGTAAACTTTGAGTCCTGGGTTTGCTACCAGTGAGAGTAAGCCATGTTATGCTAGTAAATATAACTGGTAAGCCTAAGGTATAGGCAGAAAAGAAGATAAATAGGAAAAGAAGAAGAGAGAAAATATAAGGAAGAATTGGGGAAAAGGTTGTAAAAGAGAAGATCACAAGTTGCAGAGGGTTGTTTTATGATGGTTGATTTAAATGTCTGGTTACTCATTCCTTGATTTTCTGTAGCATCTTCCTTGTAGCTGTCTCTCAGTGAAATTAAGGTCTGAATATATGTTTAGTCTCAGTTTATTTTTTTGTTACTTTTTTGTTCTTCTTGATATTTCTTTTCCCAGTTTCTTATTGGCCACGAAATTGAAAATGGCAAACTCTTATTTTATTTCAGGGAATGCAGCCTCATCTCCAGGCTTTATTGTCACTATATAAGTTCTTTGCTCCTGCTCTGATTTCAGTATCTTTGCCTGTAAGGAAGAAGGTAAGGGATTAAGGACAGATAAGTCATTCAGATTGAAATATGTTATTTTTGGTAAAGTTAGCCTAAAAGATTTGAACTAAAATGTTTACAGTCTACTATTTTAAGATCTAGTATTATTGCACTGTTTGGGGAAATTTTTTTTAGGGATTGGCACTTCATGCTGATCTTATTTGATATATTTAATAGATTCCTGATCAGGAAAAAACTTTAAATGGATTTGTATGGGGGTAAAAGATTTCATAATCGGTATATTTTTAATTAATGAAGAGTTTTAGACTTTATGTTGTTTCTCTGACTTATGGGTACCTACTCTCTTTGTATTTTACATCTGAATTTGTAGATCTATTTTAAGAATTCAGAGAATCTTTGGAAGATGGCTCTGCTTGCTGTGAGGCAAAGAAACCAGGGCCCTTCTCCAGAACCTCTAAAGCTGATGTTAGGTCCAGCTAATGTTCGTCCTGTAAAAAGAGTAAGTATCTAAAACCCCAAACGACTTATGTGACTTTCTTTTTCTTTTTATTTCAGAATATTATGAGGGTACAAACTTTCTTTTATTGAATCCTAATAAGCATTCATATGTTAGAGGAAATTATAGATATTTAAATACATTTTAATTACTCAGCATTCTGTGCCAACCACATTCAGATTCCATTAATTGAAACACCTTAGCAGCTGCTTTTATATTTATAATTCATAGTCTGTTAAATTCATTGATAGATTGTTTTATCTTTCTCCTTTAGAAATGGAATTCTCACTCAGTTATACCAGTGCTCAATTCCAATAGCTACACTAAACAATGTGGAAAAAAAGAGATTAGTCTTTCTGACTGTCTGAGTAACACTGGATCATTTCCACTAGAACAACTTCAAAGCTTCCCTCAACTCTTACAGAACATTCATTGCTTAGAGGTATGTGACTGGACCATGTGCTCATTTGTGTTTTCTATTCAATCTGCATGGCCTTCATTTTTTTTTTATTTCAGCATATTATGGGGGTACAGATATTTAGGTTACATATGTTGCCCTTGCCCCCCCCCAAGACCGAGTTTCAAATATGTCCATCCTTCGGGTGGTGCGCATTGCACTCTTTGTGTATGCATATACCTGTCCCCTCCTCCCTCCTCCCCCCTCCCCGCTCCCTTGTTATATATTTTCTATATGATGATTTCCTTGTTCCAGTAAGTCAGGACTGACCCACTTTCAGATACTTGCTGTTGACCAGTTGTGCTCTCTTTGCAGCTGCCTTCTCAGATGGGCTCAGTGCTAAACAACTCTTTGCTCCTTCACTATATTAATTGTGTCAGAGATGAGTCGATTTTACTGAGGCTTTATTACTGGTTGAGTCAAACATTACAAGAAGGTAAGAATTGATACTTAAAAACATTGGATGAATGAGGATAGAACAAAATAGTTTACAGATGGGTTTCTTTTATAAGGGTGCCAAATTCTAGACAAGAGGAGCCTTCATATGCTATAATTATTTCTGTGGTAATCATATATTCAGAGCACGAATGCTTCTGTTATAAGGAAAGGAGGGGTGTTGTTAAGGAAACACTGCTGGATGGCCACCAAAACTCAATGGGTGGCTCTACTTTGATGTTTGTCACAATCCAAGGCCTCTTCATCTTTGTATGTCCAGAAAATTTCTGTTAAGTCCCCAAAGTCATAGGGTTAATGCTAACCCAACTCAGAAGAGACTAATGTATAAGCCAGAATGTCAATTTATTATTTTATAATAGAAGTAATTCTTTCTGGTGACCAAAATGCTCATATCTGCCAGCTAGAATATCCCCTCTCTGCTATCAGCGTATATGGGTTAATGCTAACCCAACTCAGAAGAGACTAATGTATGAGCCAGAATGTCAATTTATTATTTTATAATAGAAGTAATTCTTTCTGGTGACCAAAATGCTCATATCTGCCAGCTAGAATATCCCCTCTCTGCTATCAGCGTATATGGCAGCCAAATTTGTCATTAGAAGATTTCTTAATTATGGAATTAAAAGAAAGAGCAGTGAAGAGTCTTTCATCCAGGATATAGTAAAGCACGAGCATTTCATTCCTCCAAGGGGATATATTTCTCTAGCGATAATATTTTTGTTGACCAGATTGAGTGTTTTTTTTCCTGGATGAGCAACTGACTCAAATGTTTAAAGTTAGTTTTAGTTGGTTCCAGGCTAGCTCTACTACTTCTACTCAGAGTCTTTCTTTAGACAGAATACTAATACAATACAATTTATTAGATTTCCACTTAGTAAATTCCTGCTACTCTTAGATTATACCCAGTTCATTCTGATTGAAGTTTAGGGTATTATGAAACCTAAAATTCATATGGTTACAGTTTCCTGGATTATTATGTGACAAAAAGCTAATCACACTCATTATATGTGAATTTTACCAGTTTATTTTTTCACTGTAAGCTTTCCCCTATGTTATCAAGTTGTTTGAGGAGTGTCTCATTATCACCTCCACATACTTGTTACAATTTACAGTGTGAGTTGGCTAAGATGTATGAGACTTAGGACTTTTTTTTGTCATTTGTCACTTTAGTGATAATTATGTTTTATGCAGTTTTTATTGTGCGCTCAAATGCTTATGTTTACTATTTCTGCTCCAGAATGTATGTGGTACAAGGTGAATAATTATGATCATGGAAAAGAATTTGCCAACTTTCTGGATACTATCATCAGGGCAGAGAGCTTCTTACAAGTAAGATTCTACTTCCTACACATTCCACCAATCTTTACTAAAATTTATTTAGAAGTCCATTAAAAACCTTTTCTTTGGTACTTGACATTTTTTGTAAACAATATTTGTTCAATTTGAAACTCATTATAAATGGAGCTGAGTTGGACTGACTTTTATCTTTGCACTGTTGGATTTGAAGAAAGGATATGTTAAGTCATTTACATAAAAGGGAAAGGCCTATAATTTAAGAGAATAAACTGAAGAAATAATTGAATGCATGCGATTAATTGAATTAGCTAGTAAAGTAAATCTCATAGCGTCACTACTTGTGTTTTTGTGATCAACAAACACTTTTTGAGTGTCAATTATGTTTCAGCCCAATGAACTATTTGGTCTTGGTAACCCTGAGTTTTATTTTAAGCTGCAGCTCAGGTATTAGCACCATCAGGAAACCTTCACTCATTACACCAGTATCGTTAGCTTCTTATGCTATGTGCATAGCTCCCTGTGCTTACCTCTATCATGACACTTTCAGCATCTATTTTTTCACACATTATGAGCTCCCAGCAGGCAGAAACCATGCCTAACTTTTCTTCATATACAGGTGTTCAGCTTGATACCTAGTATAGAAGAGATGCTCAATAAATGTTTGTGGAATAAATCTTAAGGATTTGGTGTGAAATCATTTAATTGGAAGTTGGGTGTGGATGACAGTAGTAAGGATAAAGGGAGGACTCTAGGTTGACTTTTGGGTTTCCTGCTTGGGAGGATGGATGACATTGATTAAGAAAGGAATATATGAAGAGCAGGATTGGAAGGAAAGATAAGTTTGATTTAAGAAATTCCTGTGGGACATCTAAGAGGTCATATCCACTACACCGTAAGATAATGAGTCTACAGAGTTCAGGAAAGAGATTTGGGCTAAGATACAGATTTAGGAATCCTCATGGTAAAGGTAATGGTTTTAGCTATGATACGGATGAGATTGTCCAAATAATTCATGTCATGAAAAGAAGGTCTAGGATAGAGTCCTGGTACATGCCACTATTTAAGGTTTAAGGTGATAAGGAAAAAAGAGAATCTCTGGGTCCTCACTCTGGTGGAAATGTAAGCAACCTAGACATTCAGGCCTCTAAAGATGGAGCTGCTCAGAATTTGGATTTGTTCTATGTTCTGTGACTAAATTCCAGTTCTATTGTATAACATTGTATACATTTTATTTTATTTTATTTTTTTCTAATTTGTTATTTTTTATTTTTTGTGTGTGAGGTATATGCTACACAATCCACATTTTTAGCATTAAATTGTCAATATTAATTGTAACAATAAGAACATCAACAAGTAAGATTTTCATGAACCAACTGTAGGGTTTTGCTTTTTTTTTTTTATTCCAGGGTATTGTGAGGGTACAAACATTATGGTTACACTTTATGTCTTTGCCTGTTCAAATTTACTGCATATACCCCAAAATAACAAATTTATCTTTAGAAATATTCCATAACTTGACTTTTATCTTCTTTTCAATTGATGAAGTTTTATGGTGTTTGAAAACTATATTGATAAAGATGGTAATGTATGTAAATACTACTCATCTCATCTTTTTTATGAGGTCTGGCACCTAACCTATGGCTTTTATTATATTGACAAAAAATTAGCCTAAGAGTGAAACAACTATAGCACAAAATAAACTGGTTATTTAGAGAGTAATTATGACTGAAGAATTCCATCTAAGGCTTTACTGTCCACTTGTTTTACAGGAGGGGTTTTATTCCTGTGAAGCATTCCTGTATAAGAGCATTCCTCTCTGGGATGGCCTCTGTTGTCGATCACAGTTCCTTCAGCTTGTGAGCTGGATTCCTTTTAGTAGCTTCTCTGGTATGTATCATGAAAATTTGGAGTCATTTAATTCCATTTAATATGAATTAAAATGATTTTGAATTATCTTTTTTTTGAATTCCTAGAGGTGAAACCGCTTCTTTTGGACCATCTTGCACAGCTCTTCTTTACATCAACCATTTATTTCAAGGTAAAAAAAAAAAAAAAGTCTTGCTTAGATTCAATAGGAACTATTATTCTATTGCCAGTGATACATGATTCCAAATCGCCATTATAGCAGTGGTTTTCTAACAGGATTCTTTTGGATCTGGGCTTTAAGGTGCTGCATCACTCAAGTCAAAGTTAATGCATAGAATTTTCTGTTTTTAAGGTGTTGTCACATAGAGTTTTCCTGAACTGTTTCACTTGTAGCAAATGACAAAGTAAATGAACAAGTGGCAAATGTCTATTAATAAAAGCAAACCGGGAAACAGTTTGTTGTAGTTTATATTTTTGTAGATATGTTTATTCATTTCACAAATATTTATTGAGTCCCTACTGTGTACTAGACACCTTTCTTGAATACAGTAGTGACCAGAGCAAACAAAACTCCCTGTGACATTTATGTTGTATATTTATAGTATAGTCATTTTCTACTAATAAAATTGTTCAAACCTTATATAAAATGTGTTGCAATTTTGGGGTGATCTCCAAAAAGACCTCTGTGGCTTCCAGGAGTTCTGCCTGAATGAGTTCGAGAGCCCCTTTATTATAGAATGTTTATTCCTATTCCAAAAGAGTGACAATATAAGTGATGTTTCTTTCACGACTTTCTTAACCTTAAATCACTTACTGTTGACCGTATTTACAGGAAAAATAGTTGTCCTGGTTAGTGTTTGTCATAATTGAATGGTACTTTATTAATTACCTTATCACATTAACTTTTATTTTCAGTCTATTTATATTACTTTTAACTTTTACTACCTGACCAATACCATCATTCGCGTGACAATACACACCAATTCTTCTAGCTAATAAATTTTTAGGGATTTCATTTTGCAGTTTTTTACGATTCTATCCCAATCTTCTAATTGGGTTATTTGTTATTTCTTCTCTTATTCCACCAATCTAAAGAGCTATTTACTATAAACATTAGGTTTGACCATAGGCAATTGCCATTTTTTTTGTAGGTCAAAGATGGTTGACAATTGACAGCTTCTTATGGTTCAACCTAATATGCACATACATATTTATACACACATATATTTGAGAATGAGGGGGTAGGGAGAGGGAGGGAGGGAGTAAGGGAAGGAAACAGATAGTGGGCCAAGGACAGAACTCAGGGAATACACAATATTTAATTCTCAGGCCAAAAAGGAGAGTCTGAAGAAACCTTAAGAAGGAATTATGTAAAAAGAACCAGGATAACAGTAGTGCCAAGGAAACAAACGGAATACTGCAAACAACTTTTTTTTTTTTTTTTTTGAGACAGAGTCTCACTCTGTTGCCCAGGCTAGAGTGCCATGGCGTCAGTCTAGCTCACAGCAACCTCAAACTCCTGGGCGCAAGCGATCCTCCTGCCTCAGCCTCCCAAGTAGCTGGGACTACAGGAATGCGCCACCATGCCCGGCTAATTTTTTCTATATAGTTTTAGCTGTCCAGCTGATTTCTTTCTATTTTTTTTAGTAGAGATGGGGTCTTGCTCTTGTTCAGGCTGGTCTCGAACTCCTGAACTCAAATGATCTGCCGGCCTGGGCCTCCCAGAGTGCTACGATTACAGGCGTGAGCCACCACGCCCAGCCTCAAACAACTTTTTTTGTTGAAGAATTTTGAATGGGAAAAGCCTCATAAACCCACTGTAACATTATTATTTTTGTTTTGGAATGTTAATTTTCCAATTTTTGTTCTTATTGATTTATCATTTTTTATATAGTTGTAAACATAATGGGCATAAATATAAAATCAGAATACAAAATTAACATTGCTTAACAATTTCTGTGTTTCCACATAGTCTTCATAATATTTCTAATAGTGGCACCATAGTCCAGAGTACCATAATTTAATTAGTCATTTCTCTATTATTTCTAATTTGTTTCTATTCTAGGAATAGATAACTGTTTTGAGCATGTTCATAATATAGATTTTTTTTCTTAGACTATTTTCTTGGCATACATTCCCAGAGGTGAAATTACTGGATGAAAAGAAAGAGTTTGAACATTTTATGATCTTGATACATATTGCTATTCCTTTGCGAAAGGGATGTGCACCGCAAGTTCTTGGAAAGAAGAAGGATATATTGGATGGAGTGCTTAAACAACAAGGGTCTAACAGCCTTAGAGAAAGAATTGGGGCTGGTCCGAAGGTAGTGAGTTATCTCACTTGATTGTTCACAGTCAGTTACAGATTGAACTCCTTGTTCTACTACTTTCCCCCCTTCTCACTACTTGACTAGTCTTAAAAAAAGATTATAAAGAATTGGGGTTTGGGAGGTGATACTAGAGTAAGGGAGACTAGCTGGGAGGATAAAGCAACCTCAGAGATGTGAAGGCCTGGTTTAGGGTAGTTAGAGTGGGATTGGAAAGGAAATGAATAAGTGGGACATTTTGAAGGAAAAAATTGATAGGACTTGGTGACTGGAAATAAAGCATGAAGGACATAAGATGACATCAAGCTTTCTAGCTTGAGATAGTAAAAGAACTAGGGACGTTTTGCCTGGGGTGGGGGGAAGACTAAGATTTTCTGGTTCCCTTCAAACATTTGAAACATTGTCACGTGGAAGGAGAAGGTCTCTGTGTGGCTGCAAGAGAGAATTAAACATGGGCAGTATCCTATAGGTAGGGCAGACTCGAAATGGAGTAAAGGACCTTCAGAGGCAGTATCTTTCCTGACAGTGGAGTACCATCAGGCAGAGGTTTAATGGCTATCTACTGGCGATATTTATGTAGAAAAGGTTCACATGTAGGGTAGAACTGTGTTCTCAACCTTTTCTAAAAGCCCATGTCCCCTTCTCATAAAGACTCATACTTTCCTTTGATGTGGGGGCAGGGGTAAGGTGGGTGGGTGGGTAAATAAAGATTTTTTATTTTCTAAATATAACACTGTAATATTGAATATCTTTTCTAATAATCAGATTCTCTGGCTGATACTGGACTATTATTTTAGATGATTCCAGAGTTGCTTTCAACTCAAACATATTTCTAACCTGAATCTGAGATGTCAATCTTTAAAAAAAAAGAAAGTATTAAATAAACTGTTCTGTGAAGCAGTGAGTACCCTATCACTGGAAATACTCAAATAATAACTACTCCATTATTAAGGATGTTTAAGAAAGGTTTTCTGTATTATATAATATTTTGTGATGGTATGGATTGCTCTTGAATTTATAATCATAAATGCCCTGGATAAATTTTTGTCATGACTGTATCTTTTTGTATATGAATGAGGCCCTGGGAAATCAAGGCAAAGCCTGAGAAAGGAAGACTAGGATTGTTTGTTTTCCAAAGTCATAGAAGATAAGATAAATTTATATGACCATCAAAAAGGGAGTAAATTGTAGGTATGGATTAGAAGGTGAAAAGAATGGGGAGCTCATATCTGTAGCAACTTCAAAGGATCTCTGAGAGGGGACAATAAGGATGCTGTTTTTATTTGATTATGTAGTATTTGTCATAAATGAATGTAATTTAGAGAAAAGTCTGTTCCTAGGCTAAGTTGGGGCAGTCCTGTTGAGATATGTTTCTTGTAGAGAAAATGGTAAAATAAACTTGTACTTGCATTCATCTGTTTCCTGGAGACTGATCATGTCGGAGCAGCAGCTATTGGGTTCTAAATTGAATGTGGTCATCTCCATGGTCCCTTCCACCTCTAAGCCTCTGTTCTGAACACTGTTATGTCTTAATGGTTTCATGAATGATTTTTTATTTTGCCCCCTCAGTGCAGTGTTCTTCACAGTCTGAAAGAGCTACTGCAGAACTGGCTGTTGTGGCTTTCCATGGATATCCATAGACCTATGATGAACAGTCCTCTGTGAGTTATCTTACAATCCCCCACAAGGGATGACCTGTACAAACATATTTGCATATGTTTGGTAGTGTGGCATAAGACCTTATATTTTCATTTAAATGCTTAGTAGTGCTTTTCTGAAAGATTTTGTTACTTTTCACCTTTTTTTCCCATAATCCTGAGAGAAAGGGTAATTCTCCAGGTTCTTATTATATAAATCAGAACGCAACCCCTTAGCCTCTAAGTGACTGGCAAATAATATAGGACTGGAGAGATGAGATAGAAATTTGCAACTTTGACTTCCATTCAGTTTAACTCATTGTATAAAATGTATTCTTCTATGTAAAATCTATTTTAATGATGGCTAGAAAAATTTCTAAGGTAATTTTCCTGTATAACTTTGTTTTTATATTCCTCTGATGTATTTTGGTTATATGCATTAGTTTATTTTGGATTTGGAGTTAAAAAAAAGAGCCCTGAATGTCTGTTAAATCTATGTTTTACCTTCAAAGTAAAAGACTGAATTTTAATTAACTACATAATTAGGTTGTTTTGAATCTTAAAATCTTTGGCTTCTCCTATATTCTATTATCAGTCACATTAGTTTTTGGCATTTTTAAAACTTTGCATCATAGAAAATTGCAAACATAAATGTAGAGAAAATAATGCAATGTTACCCCCATGTACTCATCATCCAGCTTCAACGGTTATCAACTCATGGTTAACCTTTTTTCATCAATAACACCCTTCACCTTCTGCCTAGATGATTTTTAAGCAAAACCTAGATGCCATTTCAACTGTAAAAAATTATACCATTATTATACCATTATTAATAATTCTTAATATCTTCAAATATCTAACCAGTGTTCAAATTCCCCTTAGCTTTTGTTGCAAATAGCTGGTTAACTTGGTTAAAAGATTAACCCAGGCTCATTTTGTTTTTGTTTCAAAATGTTAAGGAGGTACAAATGTTATTGTTACATGGATAGCTTTTATAATGCTTAAGTCAGAGATGTTAGTGTGCCCATCACCCAAATAGTATTTGTTCATTTTACCTTATAGATAGATTTTTACCCTCCCACCTTCCCCTCCCCCCATTTTTCCATTACATAGTATAGTTCCATTTTTCTTATCCCTGTAGCGATTTCCTACTTTGGTAGGAGAATGGAGAATAGAAACTTCTTGAGAGTAGCTTGGAAAATTGTTTTTAATTCTTCATATTCATTATTACATTTTTTCCATATGTGTCTGATCACTTTTAGAAGGAAATGGGAGGCTGGGCGTAGTGGCTCACACCTGTAATCCTAGCACTCTGGGAGGCCGAGGCGGGAGGATTGTTTGAGGTCAGGAGTTTGAGACCAGCCTGAGCAACAGCAATACTCTGTCTCTACAAAAAAAATAGAAAAATTAGCCAGGCGGCTACTTGAGTGGCTGAGGCAGGAGGATCACTTGAACCCAGGAGTTGGAGGTTACAGTGCGGTATGATGACACCGCTGCACTCTAACCGGGGTGACAGAGAGAGACTGTCTCAAAAAAAAAAAAAAGGAAGGAAATGGAGCATTTAGTGGGTAGTAAAAACATCTTGTAAAGCTGTGCCTCTCAAAGTGTGGTCCTGCATCATCATCATCACCTGGAAGCTTATTAGAGATGCAAATTCTCAGGCCCTGCCCTAGATCTGCTGAATTACACTCTGGAGGAGGGGCCTATAATCTGTTTTAACATTTTCATAATTTTGGTGTAAGCTAAAGTTTGAGAACCACTATTGTAAAGAAATTCCACTTAGATATTTAAATTCTTCTACCTAAATTATATTAAGAATAATATGTTTGATGTGGCTCTCCCTAACCTGCATTCCCCTGCTGTGGGCTACTGAGCCTGGACCCAAATTTATTCATTCTCTATCCCCCAAGATAAACGAGATTAAAAAAAAGAATAGTATGTTTGCATCCATAATCTTTGGCCAACTTTCAATGTAAGTCTCAGGTACTCCTGAAATAGGTTCCTTACAATTTCTATATTATTGTTCCAAAAATCTTAGGGTCACTATTATGAGAGTCATAAATTAAAGGAGAGCACTTAAAAAGGAGCTCTGCTTTCTAAAATTCTTAAAGCAAATAAGTGGACATACATGTAGATAATTTTGCTTATCATAGCAATATTTGGCATTATATAGTATAGTGCTTAAGTTCTCAGTAATTCTTTTTATTTTAGAGATATAGGTATGATGCCCTATTTCCATCATATGACCATATGCCATGTGATTGTCAAAAAGGAAGTAAACTGTACTTACAGATCACAAGAAGAGAAGGGTAGAAAACCATTCTCAGTGAAGGTTCTCCAGGGGGCATTTCTGGTTGTCACAGTGATTGGGAAGGGGATACAATCATCATATAGTAGGTGGGAGCTAGGGATGCTCAATATGCTGCAGTGGTTGGGGAGTAGGAGGCAGTACTGAACAGTGAATTGTGTCTTCCAAAATGTCAATAGTGTCCTGTGGAGAAACACTTCAGAAGAGGCTTTTCTGAGCAGTCGTTGTTTGAAATTATTTTCAGAAACATTTGCCAAGTGTTGCCAAAAATCATAGTTAAGATAGTTTTGCGGATAGCCAGCTGACTAGGTAGGTGTTCGCCTATTTGAATGGTTTCCTAACTCTTCCCTGCTTGCTCTGGCACTGAACCATCATGGTGATGGGGAGTGGTAGAGTCATCATCATCTCTCAACTGCTAAGACTATATATATATATTTTTTTCCTTGCATATAGCCATTGTTGAGGTATATCAATAGGAGGGTAAAACTATGAGTTCATATTTGTAGATCTTTTCCTAATACACTTAACAGTTGGTTGAAGGACAGGATTGGTTGGATGGATCGACTGAACTAATTATACCCCTGTGTGTGTGTGTGTGTGTGTGTGTGTGTGTGTGTGTGTGTTTGTTTTAAAGAAACAGGGTGTTGCTCTGTCACCCAGGCTGGAATGTTCAGTGGTGTGATCATAGCTCACTGAAGCCTCCAATTCCTGGGCTAAAATGATCTTCCTGGCTCAACCTCTTGAGTAACTGAAACTACAGGTACATGCCACCATGCCCAGCTAATTTTTAAATTTTTTGTAAAGATAGGCTCTCACTATTACTGGTCTTGAACTCCTGAGCTCAAGAGATCCTCCTGCCTCAACCTCTGAAAGTGTTAGAATTACAGGCATGAGCCACCACTCTGGGCCCCCGTGTGTGCTTTAAAGAGACTCCATTCATTGATTTGGGGAGAACGTGTAAAATATCCAGATCTGGTTTTTATTAAAAGAACAAAAGATGCTAAAATTTTTGCTAATTCACCTTTAGGATTGAATTGAATTCCAGTGAAAATATTTTTAATAGCATTTTAGCTCAGGAATTCAGGCAAAACTAGGTTTTGCTTTGTGTACTGTAGGTTTCTTTCAACCAGTGTGTTGCAATGTTGCTGACATCATAGAAAACAATTCATAAAGATATTTTAATGTTTATCCTTTTAAGCTACTTGTGATTTGGTTGGGATTAATTAGTTCTCATTTTTTCTAGTTTAGTGTATTATTTTGCCCATTTTCAGATTTTATCTTGAATTATGTTTCATGTTACTTTGACATGAACTCCTTTTTCCGCTTATTTATTAATGGAGTACCCATTTTCTAGTGGTTTTGATATTTCTCACTCAAGGATTTCCATAAAAGCCTACTTGCAGCTTCTTAATATTTTATTTCTCTGGTGTTCACTAGTAGAGTCTGGTTGCTGAGTATGTTCTATGAATTGATCTTAATGGTTGTCTAGAGGGCTAAGTTTAGGTTTATGATTAATCACTTTGATTTTTTTAAAAAGTGAATTATACATTTTTTTAAAAAGTAAATTATACGTTGGAGCGCTGATAGTTTTCAAAATCCTTACCAACTTTTTGCTATGTATTATCCAGCTTTAGCTTGGAAATTATGAGCACTTTTGCTACTCCGGATCTGAATGTTATGGTTTCTTATTGCAGAGAGACAACTTTGGGTGGATCCATGACTTCTCTGTCTAAACTGATCGACTATGTAGGGTGGCTGTCCACTATTGCAATGCGCTTGGAGGGCAACAGTGCTTTCTTGCTGCACTTTATTTTGGATTTCTATGAGAAGGTATTACCCTTTCCATTTTCTCTATTTAGATTTCGTGATGGCTATCCACGTTACTGGCCTATTATTTAAATTTTATATACAACCATTAAGGTGGGCTAGGATTAGCATAGTTAAAATAACTTTAGAATTTGAAGTTAATAATTGTTTCCCATCCAAGTACTAACCAGGCCCAACCCTGCTTAGCTTCCGGAATCAGACGATACCGGGCACGTTCAGGGTGGTATGGCTATAGACAGAAGTTAATAATTGTTTTCTCACCTGATAACTGACTTTCATAAAATAAAGTAGAAAAACAAATGCTTGTTTTTTGGATCCAGGTACCACTTTAATAGACATTGACCTGTAATAATGCTGGCCCTAGACAGAATTTTGCTGTTAGCATTACATTTTGTTCATCCATTGTACATCCTCAACCCCTGGAAAAAAACAAAAGTATCTTCTTAGTTTTTTCAGATCTCCACTTCTATCTTTGACCTGCCTTATTTCCCCTGGTACCTAGTACCTTTATGATTCTGATCCTCTTCAATTGTTTTATAGTATTTGACCTGGACAGAACTATTATCCATGAAGTATCCATTATAATCTCATTTTTCCCAACTTCTTCCTTTCACCAATACCTAGTTGTCTTGTTTTATGTATTTCCTTAGAAGCATGCTCCTTTGTTTTCCAGGTTGACAGCTAATTAATAGGATAAATAAATATTTTTGCAACTTTAGGAGAAAGATATGTTCCCTTCATCCCCAACTCTAAGACTTCTCCCCAGAAAAAAATGAAAGATTTTAAAAATGGTCTTCCAGTAATAATCCTTTGTGGTAAGGTTGATGTTTGATGAGGTATATTTTAAGCAGGCTTGTGGTTACCTGTTCTATTTAGGAATCAGGCAAGTCCAAACCTAATGTTATATTATTGCTTATCTTATACTAGTGATTCTTTGGGTGAACTTGGTTGAGGAGTTCTAGGGAATAATCTGTATACTGATGTTATCATTCTTCTCAAAAGGTATGTGACATATATATAAATTATGACCTTCCATTGGTGGTGTTGTTTCCTCCTGGCGTCTTCTATCCTGCACTCCTCAGTCTGGATACCACTATCTTGAACCAGCTCTGTTATATTATGCACAGGTACAAAGCCTTTTTACCATTTTATGAAATAGCATATCATAATCCTGTCTTCATCTGTCAACCATAATACAGTAAAACTTCCTATGCATTTTCTGCCAGGCCTGTGGAAGCAGGAAACATGGCCTTCTTTTGGGCATGACCTTCCAATTACAGGGCTATGCTAGTTTGTTGTTTTTAAATCCCTCACTGCTGTGATTATAGAATAAAAATTTATAATTAAGAATCTATTGTGCAATAGTACCGTTGTACTCAACATTGTTAATTCTAATCACTGTGTCTTAAAGAAAAATTAGTCATTTGCTGACAACTGATATAAGTGTACATAGCTTCTCTGTCTCTGGTAAAAAGATCACTTTCTGGGAGATAAGGGCAGCTATTGCCAATTATGTGAAACTGTAAGTATCATTTCTGATCTCTAATTCTTTCACTTGTGGACTAAAATTATTCTTTTCAATCTGTAAGAGTAGACCTTTTTGGCATAATTTGTAGGACTATGTCAAGGTTAAAATGTTTTAAAGCTAATTAAATAATACACAAGAAAAAATTATATTTCTAAATTTCCCCTTTTATCCTTTCTGCCACACCTATTTTTTTTTTTTTTTTTAAGACAGAGTCTCACTCTGTTGCCCGGGCTAGAGTGCCGTGGCGTCAGTCTAGCTCACAGCAACCTCAAACTCCTGGGCTCAAGCGATCCTACTGCCTCAGCCTCCCGAGTAACTGGGACTACAGGCATGAGCCACCATGCCCAGCTAATTTTTTCTGTATATTTTTACCTGTCCAATTAATTTCTTTCTATTTTTGGTAGAGACGGGGTCTCACTCTTGCTCAGGCTGGTCTGGAACTCCTGAGCTCAAACAATCCACCCACCTCGGCCTCGCAGAGTGCTAGGATTACAGGCGTGAGCCACCGTGCCCGGCCCACACCTATTTTTTTATATTATGAAAATATGTTCTGTAATAGTGACTGACTGCTTTTGAGCCTCTGTTACAAAGTTTTTTTTTTTTTTTTTTTGAGACAGAGTCTCACTCTGTTGCCTGGGCTAGAGTTCCATGGTGTCAGACTAGCTCACAGCAACCTCAAACTCCTGGGCTCAAGCAATCCTTCTGCCTCAGCCTCCCAAGTAGTTGGGACTACAGGCATGCACCACCACGCCTGGCTAATTTTTTCTTGTTTCTATTTTTAGTTGTCTGGCTAATTTCTTTCTATTTTTAGTAGAGATGCCGTTTCGTTCTTGCCGAGGCTGTTCTCGAACTCCTGATCTCAAGCAATCCTCCCCCCTTGGCCTCCCAGAGTGCTAAGATTACAGGTGCGAGCTACCATGCCCGGCCAATTTTTTTTTTTTTTTGAGACAGGGTCTTACTCATAGCTCACTGTAACCTCAAGCTACTGGGCTCAAGCAGTCCTCCTGGCTTAGCCTCTCAAGTAGCTAGGACTACAAGTGCTCGTGGCCATACCCAGCTACTTTAAAACTGTTTTTGTAGAGATAGGGTCTTGTTATGTTGCCCAGGCTGCTCTTGAACAACTGGCCTCAAGCAGTCCTCCCACATCGGCCTCCCAAAGTTCTTGGATTAGCAGGCATGAGCCACTGCACCCGGACATATGTTAATTTTTTAATAGTGAAACATTAAGAGCATTTTTTCATTGTTTTTATTGAGTCAAGTGCACATCTTAAGTATACAACTTATTTAGCCTCTATTAATTTTTATTCTTTGAGGAGAATATACCACAAAAGGATAAAAACCTTAATTAGACAACTGAATATTTTTGTATGTACACATTTGCATATATTTACATTTAAAATGTACATTTTTGTTTATTTTACATTTCAAAGGCATGTTAAATGTTTCAGTCTTTTTATTCTTCCTATTAGGTATCGTAAAAATCTGTCTGCTGCAAAGAAAAATGAGTTGCAACAAAAGGTATGAATGATAAACCTCTGTTAAATCACTGTTGTTTAAAAATTGAGCCGGGCATGGTGGCTCACACCTGCATTCCTAGCACTTTGGGAGGCCGAGGCAGGAGGATCACTTGAGCCCAGGAGTTTGAGACCAGCCTGGGCAACATAACGAGACCCTGCCTCTACAAAAAATTAAAAAATTAGCCAGGCATGATGGTCTTAGCTATGTGGGCGGTTGAGGCAGGAGGATCACTTGAGCCCAGGAGTTAGAGGCTGCATTGAGCTATGATCACACCACTGCCCTGCAGCCTGTGTAGCAGAGCAATACCCCATCTCTAAAAAAAATATATATTAGAAATTGAATCTAGCTATATATGACCTGTTGGGAATAAGTAGGAAAGGGAGAATAGGTGATGATAACAATTTTATTTGTTTTTCATTAGGCAAAACCACAGTTCAGTTTCAGCAGCAAGACCTATCAAGAGTTTAATCACTATTTGATCGCCATGGTTGGTTGCCTGTGGACATCCAAACCCTTTGAGAAAGGAATATATATTGACCCTGAAATCCTGGAAAAAGCTGGAGTAGCAGAATATAAAAGCAGTTTAAATTTGGTTCATCACCCTTCTCTACTGAGTTATGCTGTTTCCTTTTTGCTACAGGTAAGGATATTTAAAGAATTTTTTTAGATTTTATGTAGTAATATTGTGATGGCAGAGATATGAAATGCCATAAATTTAGTGTGTCTGAAATGCAAGATGTGTTGAGTAATTTTTTTAAAGTATCAACTAAAGTTTAGGTATTATGGTGGAATCTGGGATTCAGTTAATTTAAGTAAGTTTCTATCCTCTAAAAGAACAGGCTTATAGCAGACAGACTTGTAAACAAATTACTACAATACAGTGTGGCAAAATGAGAAAAGGTACAGCTATGAGAAAGATGGGGGAGTGATTAGTTCAGTTCTGCTTGGATAGAGGTGATTTCAGGTAAAGAAAGGCTTCATAGAAGTGTAAACTGTCATAAAATCCTCCTAGACATGATGGAAAATGTAGTCTAGATAATATTGTAATTAGAGTTACAGTCTTAGCCGAAGACTACAAATTTAATGGATTGATATATGCAAGCAGGTGGCAGAGTGATGGTGATGATGTCTTTTCAGGACTTTGTTTTCATCCCTGTCATTTTCAACATTATCAGTGACTTGGAGAAAAACTCTAATGGTGTCCATCTTAAATGCATGGATGACACAACAGGGTGGGATTACAAATACCCTGAAAGAATTTGGATTCAGAATTCCCTTAACAGACTGAAACATTGAGAAATCTAACAAAATAAAAAAAAATTGTACAGGGTGGGGGAGATATTCTTTGAATAAATGTTTAGTATATGCAGACAATGAACTCAGCACTGTAGTGAACAAGACACATCTGGGTGTTGCCCTCGTAGAGCTTACAGTCTAGTCAGGGAGGCAGTCATTAAACAGACATCTTAGAAGAAACAATGATGAGTAGTAAAATAGGGAAAGTATAGAGGTCAGTGAAAAAAATATAAAGAGGTGCTAAATTCAGGCTTTGCAGAAATGTTGCTAATTGAATTTTTGAGGGATGAACATGAGCTTGCCAAGACAGGAGTAGAATTTGAGGAATAGTACAAAGGTGCTGAGCAAAGATAGTTACAACAGGAGTCAGCAAATGTTTTTGTAGAGGGCCAGATTGTAAATATTTTAGGTTTTGCAGGCCACGTGGTCTCTGTCAAGACTACCCAACCTTGCTGTTGTAGCTTGAAAGCAGCCATAGACAATGCGTAAACAAATAACCATAGTTGTGTTTCAGTAAAAGTTTGTTTACAAAAACAGGTGTTGGCTGGATTTGGGCTTTGACCCTTGTGTTAAAGCCTGTCATGTTTGAGGAACTTGAAGTAGAATTGTAGGACTAGAGCAGTGATTCTACACTGACTGAGCAGCAGAATTGCCCAGAGTGCTTTTCCAAAGTGTACATCCCTTGTTGCTCCTACCCTGAGACTCTGATTGAATAACTATGGAGTGACATTCAGTATCTGCTTTTTAAATATAACTCTGATATACAGTAAGAGTTGGGCTTTTCACCCTGTGAGCCTGCCATGTTATGACACAGCACCAGAAACCAACCAGATGCAGTCACCTGATCTTGAACTTCCCAGCCTCCAGAACTATAAGAAGTACATGTCTTTTATTTATAAATTACCAAATCTCAGGTATTCTGTTATAGCAACAGAACACTGCCTAAGACATCACCTATTCTTTCAGCTTGTCCACTTTTTCCATTAACCTTAGTGTGTTCTTCATAGTTATTTTAAATTGCTGGTGTCATAATTCCAAAATCTCCGTCATCTGTGTCTTATTCTGTTTCTTGCATTTTCTCTTCAGACTGTTGTTTTCTTCTTGCTTTCTAGCATGCTTTGTAATTTTTTTGTTGTTGAAAACCAGGCATGACATTGGGTAATAGAAACTGAGATAAATTGGTCTTTATTGTGAGAGATTGTGTTCATGTGAGTAAGAGTTATACTGCATTTACTATTTGCTGTAATTGTAGGTATTTGAAACTTTTGTCTTTTCTAGAGTCCTTGTTTCTGTGTATTTTGTTATCTTTGAGTTTTCATAGATACTCTTCCTTAACTAATGTTTGAGCTTTGCAGTTCTATGAGTTGTAATCCTCTGTTATGCAGAAGCCTTGTAAATTTGCAGGAGGGCAAGCATTCTATAATTGTGTGATTAATTCTCAGTCTTTTAGTAGGCCTGTGCCCCTGCGTTGTGACCTAGTCACTTAATATCATATGTTTTATTATAATAGGAATACATATTCATACTTGAAAGCTGAAAAATACAGAAAAATAACATGAAGGTAAAATTTATAAAGAAAAAAGTTGAGAGCCACTGGGTTAGACTATAGCATAGTAGCAGATGAGGTTTTGAAACGTAGTTAAGGATCAGATGCTGAAAAAAGTAATATGTAGGCCACCAAAAACAAATTGCTTGATTGCAATATTTGAATAAAAATTATATTTTTAACTATGTAGAAGAATTTCAGAGGCAGTGTATTTTAGTGATTTTTCTGATATTCCTTCTTTTTCTCTTTTCTTGCCTTCATAATAACTTGCTTGATTTATACAGTGTACAAAAACCTGTTTTAAATTAATAATATTAATATTACTGTTAATATGAGGCTACTAGGTGAAATTTAAAATGTTTTCATGTTTGAGGAACTTGAAGTAGAATTGTAGGACTAGAGCAGTGGACTAAATCCTTTTAAAAATGTACAGTACACACACTCTATTTTACGTACTGTTAGGTACATTTGTTTCAGTTTGTTTTCATGTTTTAGAGATTGCTTTTTTCTTTTAGATTTAATTTTATTCCTGAAATATGTAAAACATTTACACCATTCTAAGTTCTAAACTATGAAAATCTCATTTTTATCCTTTCCTCCTCCATCTTTTATCATCTTCTGCCTTGAGGTAGCCATTTTTATTGTTTTTTTTGTTTTGTTTTTCCCATCCAGTGTTTCTTTCCTTTAAACTTAGTAAACATTGTTTTATAATCTGTATCTGATAATTACGATATCTGAAGTTTTTGTGTGTCTGTTTCTATTGCCTGTTTTCCCTGTTGCTTTTTTGTCTTACGTTGTGGATATATGTTTTCATTTCTTTTGTGTATGGATAATTAGAGGTGGGAATGCTGGATCATACAGTAACTCGATGTTTAACCACTGGGACAGCTTCCAGACTGTTTTCAAAAGTAGCTCCACCATTTTACATTCCCACCAGCAGTATGTGAGGGTTCCATTTTTTCCACATCTTTTCCACACTTGTTATTATCCGTTTTTGTGATTCTAGCCATCCTAGAGGTATGAAGTGGTATTTCATTGGAGTACTGATTTGCATTTCCATCATAGCTGTTGATGTTCAGCATCTTTTCATGTGCTTCTTGACCATTTGTATATTTTTTTGGAAAAATATCTATTCAGACCCTTTGGCCATTTTTTCATGAGGTTATTTGCCTTTTTATTACTAAGTTTTAAGCTTTTTATAGTCTAGATATAAGTCCCTCATCAGATATATGATTTGTGAAAGTTTCCCCTTATTCTGTGGGTTGTCTTTTCACTTTTTTGTTGGTGTCTTTTGATTCACAAAAATTTTTAATTCTGATGAGTCAAATTTGTAATTTTCTTCTTTTATTGCTTGTACTTTTATTGTCCAAGCTAAGAAATCACTGCCTAACCTAAGGTCATGAATATTTACTCCTGTATTTTTCTAAGAGTTTTATAGTTTTAGCTCTTATGTTTGGATTTTTGATCAATTTTGAGTTAACTTTTGTAAATGGTGTGATATAGGTTTCCAACTTCATTTTTTGGTGTGTGGCTATTCAGTTGTCCCAGCACTATTTGCTGAAAAGGCTATTTTTTCCCTATTAAAATATCTTGGCACCCTTGTTGAAAATCAATTGACCATAGATGTATGGACTCTTGATTCTATTTTATTTATATATATATGTATGTCCTTATGTGATTACAACACTGTCTTGATTAGTATAGATTTTTAGGAAGCTTCGAAATTGGGAAGTGTGAGCTCTCCAATTTTCTTCTTTTTCAAAATTGTTTTGGCTGTTCTTGGTCCCTTGAAATTCCATATGAGTTTTAAAATCAGCTTGTCAGTTTCTACGAAGAATCCAGCTGGGATTCTAATAGATAATGCCTTGAATATGTAGATAAATTTGATACTATTGCCATCTTAATATTAAGTTCTTCAGTGCATGAACATTGAAAGTCTTTCCATTTATTTTGGTCTTCTTTAGTTTTTTTTTCAACAATGTTTTGTGGTTTTCAGAGTATAAGATTTACACTCTTTATTCCTATGTATTTTTTGATGCTATTGTAAATGAAATTGTTTTCTTAATTTCATTTTTGGGTTGCTTATTGCTCCTATATAGAAATGTAATTGATTTGTGTATATTGATCTTATATTCTACAACCTTGTTGAACTCATTTGTTAGTTTTTATGGCTTTTTAGGGGATTCCTTAGGATTTTCTATATACAAGATTATGTCTTCTGAAAATAGAGGTAGTTTTATTTCTTCTTTTCAAATCTGGATGCCTTTTCTTTGTCTCGCCTAATTGTACTGCCTAGAACCTCAGTACAATGTTGAAGAAGTGACAAGAATGGCATCTTAATCATAGGGGAAAAACATTTCATTTTATCACCAGTATGACGTTAGGGGTTTCTGTGGATGCCCTTTATTAGGTTGAGGAACTTCCCTTCTATTTCTAGTTTGTTGAATGTTTTTATTATGAATGGGTGTTAGATTTTGTGAGATGCTTTTTCTGCATCTACAAACATGATCATGTGGTTTTTGTCCTTTATTCTATTGATATGGTATATTACATTAATAGAGGTTCAGATGTTTAACCAATCCTGCATTTTTGGGATAAGTCCTACTTGGCAATAGAGAACAATTTCTTTTACGTGTTGCTGGATTTTTAATTTTTTTGTAGCCCTCTATAGCACAGGCTTATGAAATTCAGGAAGGACAACCTAAAACTTTTTGACAAGTCTTGTAGATTCTTGGAGACAAAAAGCTTTGATTATTGAAGAAAATGTTAAAGCAAGTAAATGACCAGTTTGGTTTACA